AATCTTGCTTTATCAATATGAAACATCACCATTATCAAGTGCTAAATTCTTACATATATTTGGGTATTTCTGGATTTCCTATTCTGTTCTATTCATTGATTTTTTTCAGTTGTTAGTAAACAATTTGTGGAAATAGCACATTCACATTTTGATATCTGGAAAAGCAAGTCTTTTTCCATTCTGGTACAAAAAATTAACTTATTACAGCAATAAAATACAGGATGTGCAGTGTAAAAATGCTAAAACTTCGCTATTTTTATTTGGCTTACGTAAAAGTGATAAACACAGAAAAAGCTCACATCTTAAGAAAAACGAATCTTCCTATTCAAGGACACAAACCATCTTCCCATTTCAGTTTCCTTGTAAGGTTCCTCAGTAAAGGACATATTTGCATAGGGTACATTGATATAAAATCCATATTGGATTTTATTTGAAAAATATTTAGCCCAGAAGTTGATATATTATGGGACTTAATTCTCAATATACACCTTTCTATAATGTATAGAACATTGTTTTAAAATGTGTACATTAAAAATAATCCGCTGTATCGACTTGATTTTGTGAGTTAAGTCACTTTCATACAGTCTATTAGTGCTCTATAAGGGAAATTATAATCGGATAGGAAATCAGCTAAAGTTTTGTTTCTGTGTTGCTGTTCATAAAGGGCCTGTGCCCTGACCTTTCTGAGGTTTCCGCACCCAGGGTGGTGTGGGGCCTGCGGAGGAACAGAAAGCCAGGACCCCGATCCCGCCAGGAGGGTATGTCCCCATCATCCCCCCACGTCCTGCCACCTCCCAGCCCAGGCCCGGTTACCTCTTTTGCTTGTCCGTCTTGTTCACGTCAGTGTCCCTGAGCATGACGATGAGATCCTTTCTGGGGACTTTACCCCACCAGGCAGCTCTGTGGAGCTTGTCCAGATCTTCTCCACGGACGTGGTACCTGGGCTCCATGAAGGCGCTGTCCTCGTAGTCTTCCCAAGCTTCCACGTTGCTCTCCCCGCGCCCCTTGCAGTTGGGGACGTGGTACCTGGGCTCCATGAAGGCGCTGTCGTGGTAGTCTTCCCAAGCTTCCACGTTGCTCTCCCCGCGCCCCTTGCAGCGAGGGAAGCAGTGGCAGCACCACTTGGCCATCTTGCTCCTGTGCGTCTTCAGAGCGGAGTCGTCCTGGTCTCCAGAAGGGCCCACAATGCTCTCGCCACTCCCCCTGCAGCAGGGGAAGCAGTGGGAGCACCTCTTGGCCATCTTGCTCTTAAGTGTCTTCATAGCGGAGTCGTCCTGGTCTCCAAAAGCACCTAGGTTGCTCTTGCCGCTCCCCCTGCAGCAGGGGAAGCAGTGGTGGCACCACTTGCCCATCTTGCTCCTGAGACCAAATGGCTTCTTCATAGCGGAGGCAGCAGGTATTGAAGAAACCTCAGCCACCATCTGCTTTGAACAGCCAGGGGAGGCCGGTAGTAGCGAGCACATCGCGTCTAGCAACCAGTTTCACCAACTAGCAGGAAATTCTGAGTTTCGGATCTGTTTGAAGAGAAAGGTCAATCCCAGCCAAAATCTGCCAACCCCAGCAGGGGAGCCC